AATAGGATAAATTTACAGCTACTTTCGCTTAATTCAATGAGAAGAAAGAGGTATACTAACAGTGTTTGGAAAGAATATCCTGTCTGCTTCTTGTACTGTGGATAACCACTAAGAAGATAACAATGTACAGTGTATTGACTATCAAAACTGTCCTATTAATCAGCTGTGAAATTGTCTCATTCATATTTGTTTCTCAATAAAATAAAATAAGCTCATGGCAATCCCCATCTAAGCCTCTTCAGTGCTGGGATTACAGGTGTCTGTCACCATGCCCTGTCAGTTTTGAGGTATTTGTTACAATCATTGCTGTGAGAGAAGGGTCCTGTGTCATCCTTTTTTTTTTTTTTTTTTTTTTTTTTTTTTTTTCTGATACCGGGGATCAAACTCAGAACCTTGTGCTTGCCAGGTAGGAACTTACACCTCTGACCTATATCCCTGGCCCTGTATCATCCCTTTGCATGTGGATTTCCAATTTTCTTGGTGCCATTTTGAAGGCTATCTTCTCCCCATGGGTCTACACACCCTGTTGACAATTATTTGACCATAAATGGAGGCTTGATTTCTTGGCTGCCCATTCTGGCCCATTAATCTATGCCTGTCAGTATGCCAATGTTAACTGTCTTGAACACTACTCATTTAGTAGTAAATTTTGAGACCAGGAATTATTGCTCTTTTTTTGAAATTATTTTGTCTCTTCAGGGTCCTTATAGATAACATATAATTTCCATGATGTATTTTTTCCATTTCTGAAAAAAAATACTGCTTTGGTACTGGCATATTAACAATAATAAGATATAATCTATAAGTATGGGATATCTTCCCATTTATTTGTCTGCTTTAATTTTTAGCAATATTTGTAGTTTTTAGTGTAGAAGTCTTTAGTCTCAATTTTATTCCTAAGCATCATATTATTTTTCAGGCTATTATAAATGAATGGTTTCCCTAATTTCCTTCTAAGATCAGATTGCCATTATTAGTGCAAAGAAACACGGCTGATTTTTGCATGCTGAGTTTGATCTTGCTACTGTGCTGAATTTATTGGTTTGTGACTGTTGGTCCTGATACATCAACTTGACCTGTTTAAGAAACACTCAGGGGGGCTGGCCAGATAGCTCAGTGGACTAAAGTGCCTGCTTAGGCAGAGCACAGTAGCCAAGGTTTGATCCCCAGTGTGCTGTGCTGGCCCTGCCCTTGAGGCACCCTGAGATGCCATTGAGACTGGGCATGGTGGCATGCACCTGTAATCCCAGATCTCGGGAGGCTGAAAACAGGAGAATCACTATGAGTCCTTGTAGACCCTATGTAGTGAGACCCTGTAGACCCTGTAGACCATCTTAAATTCATGAAAGAAAGGAAGGAAGGAAGGAAGGAAGGAAGGAAGGAAGGAAGGAAGAAAGAGAGAAAGAAAGAAAGAAAGAAAGAAAGAAAGAAAGAAAGAAAGAAAGAAAGAAAGAAAGAAAGAAAGAAAGAAAAAGAGACAGACTCAGGGCTTACTCAGAAAGGCACGCTTCTGGTGGGCATGAGGCAGGACCTTGGTGCTGTATCTGGTTCCTTGCTCCTCTGCGCCCTTCCACTGTAAGGTCCCTGACATAGACCCAGTGGCCCGTAACTGTGTGTCCAGACACCCTTCCTTCCCAAAGGCGTGGCGTGGGGCGCTGTGTCCTGCCATAGTAAAGCTGACTCTACCACAGTATTGTACCCAAGTTCTGCTTTGTGCTGGTGGGATGTTCTGAGTTTTCTAAATATACTATCATAGCATCTACTAACAGGTAATTTTACTTCTTCCTCTCCCATCAGGAGGACTTTTATCTAACTGCTCTTGCCTGGGAGTTCCAGGAAAATACCATGCTGACTAGAAATGATGAAGGAGGCATCATCCCGTTCCTCATCTTCGAGGCAAATTTCTCAGTTGCTTGCTACTGATGACAACGGTTGCGGTGGGCTTTTTACAGATGACTTTATGAGGGTGTGAAGTTCCCTTCTATCCTACTCTGTGGAACACTTTTATTATGAAAGTGTGCCGAGTCCTGTAGAATGCTTCTTCCATATCAGTGAGATGATCACGTGGCTTCTTTCCCCTGTTGCATGCTGTTAACAGGCTGTATGACAGATTTCATACACTGAACAATCCTGAAATTAAGTACCACTTGGTTATGGTGTATACACCTTTTGATATGCTTCTTAATTCCACTTGGTGGCATTTTGTTAAGGGCTCACATCTATTCTTAAGGGACAGGTGCCTGCGGTTTCCTTCCTCTTTTGTGTCTTCACCTGGCTCTGTATTGGAACTGTGCCCTCAGAGAGTAAGTTAGGAAGAACTCACACCCCTCTGACGTTCTGGAAGAGCTTGAAGAGGGTTAGTGTCAATTTCTTACTTATTTATTATTTAGTATAATTTCAACAGTGATGTCTCTGGTCTGGGGCCTTTGTTTGTTGGGAGACTTTTGATTATTTGTTCAGTGCAATTACTAGTTAACAGTCTTTTCATATTCTCTACTTATTCATGAAACAGTTTTGGAAGAGTATTTCTAAGAATTTGCCTATTTCATTAAGGCTTCTGATTACTGTGCTCCCCAAGTCCTTTATGTTTTTGCATCCCTGGTAATTTTTCACCTAAACTACATACTGTGTTATACTGAAGGACCATGACCTGTGGTCATGTGCTGTGAGAGTCTTGCTGGGGTGGAGGACTGGGGCCTCCTGCGTGCACTTGCAGAGCATGAGTTCAGAAAGGCCCAGACCCACCTGGCACCGTCATGGATGACAAGGACCACAGAAAACTTACCTGTGGTAGGAAAGGGTCATCCTCTCTGATGGGAGGACAGTCATCAAGCCCATCCTGTACCCCTGCCCAAAGCAGCTGAGGGACAGGGCTCTGACAAGCATGGTGTGGCATGGCTTACAGCTCACTCTTAACTTTCCTATAATAATCTGTGTCCACCATTGTACAAATGCTTCCCTAAACAGCCTGCAGTAGAAATGTGAGACAAGGCAGGGGCTCTGTGGTCACACACGAAGCAGCAAGGGTGCAGTGCCCAACACTGCAGTTGGGGACTTCAGAGCATGGCTGGAGCCACCCACACTCAAAGGCCAGCTTAGGAAAGCATCTGCCACCCTCCATGCCCCTCCGGCTCCCTGCTGGTGAGTCCTGTGTGGAGGACCACCTGAGCAGCTCTCCTTGAAAGAGCAACTGTCTCCATCTTGACTGAGCCTGACCCTATTTCCTCATATTGCTCTGTACAGAGCTGGCCGGGACTTCTGTTTATCCTTCAATTGGCCTTAAGCAATGTGTATTGGTCTAGCTAAGGTGCTGGTGATAGTCTTTGAAGGTGTCATGCATGTTTCCCTGGCAACCTATGCCTGCTGTTCCTTAATGTGAGCCAGGTAGAGACAGGACAAAGAGCCAGTGCTCTGTGCCTCCAGCTGGGATCGAGCCATGAGACAGAGGCTCTGACTTCCTGGGGCTTGAAAGACTACATCAGAGCTGAAGCACGAGACCCCTAAAATATTAGATACTATCTCCATGGCATAATAGTATAATGCAGATTGCTGTCTCTGCATATCCTCTCTGCATATGACGGAAGTAAATGTAGGCCACCCCCCTAGCTCAGCTCACAGTACTCACCTCCTTCCCACAATTCTCGGTCATTCTCCTCAAGCCACTCCTCCACTGAATAAAACTGAGTGAGGCCCTGGATCAACCTTTGTGCTCCGGAAAGCCATCTTCATGGCTGGACTTAGCCCCCCTTGACTCCCCGATAATTATAAATATGTTTTAGTGTCTTTACTCTCACCGTGGGTTGCACTAGGAGTGGTGGATTGGAATTAACTTGGTGGGATTCCAATAATGTATCTTTGGGATTACAAATATTAACTTCTTGGACTGAGATGAAACCAGGAAGGGACTCCTACAGTCCTGAGCCCCAAATGACAGACAAGTCCACAGCTACCTCAGCCCTCTCGATCACAGGATCCAGGCACAGAAGCAAGGGCCTGGCCCCAGGAGGTGACCACACAAGAATCACATCTGGCCAAGACAGGACATGGATCCCTACTCTTCTCTGCCTGCTGGAAGGGTTCTCACATCCCAGGAATGTTGTTGCCCACTCTCTAAAATTTGAGGCCCCTCTCCGTCTGCTCTTTTTTTTTTTTTTATCCTTATGGTAGAGCCTGGATGCTGAAAAATATCTCCCCAGGACAGCAATAAGTGGCAGGGGCATCCCAGGATAAGAATCCACACAGAGGTGGTACCAGGCCTGGCTCTGGTTAGCTGGCTGAGGGACAGGTTGGCTCAGTTCCTCACCTGGAGGGCAGGCCAGGTCAGGCCAGGCCAGGCTCCAGGGTTTGGCCTGAAGAACACAGCTGCCAAGTCTCCATCCTCCTCTCCACCAAAGGAACCTGCTTCCTTCCTGTGAGGGCCTGCATCCTGGTAGCTGGCTAGCCTAGCTCTGTCTCCGAGCTGCTGAGGGAAGTGCACTGGGAGGCCCCTGGATCTCACCACAGATTCTAGCCCACAGAAGCTAGTGAAAAGCTGCATGTGGCTTGCCCGAGGACTGCAGCCTGGGGCGCCCTCTGCACCAGGCAGTCAGAGGGCTCTTGGGGTGAGAGGGTGCCCAGGATCGAAGGGTGGCTGGGGTCAGAGGGCACCTCTTAGGCCAGCCAGGTGCTGACTGCAGTAGCCGGGCTGTTAGACCTCTGGCTTCACACAGAGACATGGGGAGCTGCTCACCTGAGGCCCTGAAGGCTTCATCAACCAGGGATCCCTGGATACACAGGCACCTATGAGGTCAGCATGGGGTGCCCCACACCCACAGCCACCCTTGAAGCTGCTCAAAATTTTAAAAAGGGCTGGGGATGATGCAGCTCAGAGTGAAGGCCCTGAGTTCTGACCCCAGTGCCACAAAAACAACAAAACAAATAAAAAAGCAATCCTAACCTGTGCCAATCGATGACGTCCTGGCAGTGGGACTCTTGCAGGGGCAGAGACTGTCCAGGACCTGAGTGGTTTCTCTGGCTCTGTGCAAGGCTCACTGAACTGCAGACCACACTCAGCAGAGGCCCCCAGGGCTCCGGAGTGCACACTTACCGGCAGCACCCCTGCCCCCTGCTGCCTGCCCTGGCCTGGGTGCTGGACGAAGGAGCGTGTGGAGACCTTGTAGTGACTCAGCAGGCAGACGACAACCACAACCATCACGGTGACCACCACGACAACAATGATGATCTGGGCGAACTCCAGTTCCGCTGTGGGGAAAGGACATGGGTGAGACACTGGTGTGCTGCAACTGTGAGGCACAGGGTGCTGGCGTAGGAGAGGAAGAGGGGTTGCTGCTGAGGAGCCTGACAGCCTCCAGGGACACTCAGGCTGCAGCCCCCACCCTGCCTGGGGCCCTTCCCCCAGGCCTGGTCTCAGTGAGCTGCGGCCACCCAGAGCCCCGTGAGCTCCCTACTGTAAAACGTACTGGCTCTCTGAGGACATGGAAGCCCAGGGTCCTGCCCAGAGGAGCAGAACACATTGATCAAATCTGAGGCTGCATTTAGTAGCACCATGGGTCACCTCCCGACTGTGTTTCTGAGAGGACAGTGTAGGAAACACACAAGGAGTGACAAGGAGCTCCAGCCACATCCTAGACACCTGAGTGGCGGGGCCATGCTAAGTCCCAACACTGCCTGGACAAGGGACTTGGCAGATGCCACCCACACCACCCACTGCAGTCTGTAGTGAGACTTTAAGTGACAGTGTGAGGAGCTGATATCAGAGGCAGGGACTGGGGCCCTGCTCTGCCCCTGCCCTAGAAGGCAGCTGAGATGTGGGGCATGGGGTACGGGGTGCAGGGCTCTGGTGACCAGACAGTGAGGCTCAGGACCCTCCTAGGACACTGGCTCCTCAGTGTGCTAGCCCCACACGCAAAGCTGGCTGTGTGCACAGGCCCCTGCCCTGCTCACCCCACATAGCCGGAGGCTGGATTAGTCACAACACCTGAGGCAACACAAATGAAGTATCCATAGTTGCTGTGTTGTCCAGGGAATGACAAGGAAAAGTCCTGTGCACATTTGGCTCAGACATAAAGACACATTCCTATCTCAATTCTTTTTTCTCTATGGTTGGTTAGTCCATGACAACACCCTGGGTACAGAGGAAAGATGTATTCGCAGCCCTGAGCCCACACTGCACACACACACACACACACACACACACACACACACACACACACCCTGGAGCAAGACCCTTGGCTGCAGCATGACTATTTGGCCCAGCGCAGTGTGGGAAGGCTGAGCATCTTCCCCTCACCAGGCCCCACCTCAGACACTGCCCCATTCCTGCCCTCAGAGCCCACATCCAGTAGCAATGACGCCTAAATGTGCTCATGGCTGGGCCAAGGAAGGGGGCCCAGTGGTGAGCAGCTCGGCCAGGTTCTCACGCACCCAGGAAGGGTGAAGGCTGGAGGGGCTCCTCTTGAGAGGCACAGTGGGGTGCCCTGACGCTGGCTGTTGTCAAGGCCCACAGCCCAGTACTCTTGCCCTGAGGAGCTGCTGTGCCTAGAGGCCCCTGAACCTCTGCAGTTGGTGCCCAGCTGTGCCCCAGGTGCCTTCCTGAAGCACCCCAGAGGGAACACTGAGTCCATGGCTTCACAGGCTCAAGGGCTCCTGGAAAGACAGCAGCATGGAGGGGAGCAGGGCTGCTGCCTTAAGGGAGCAGCTATCTTCATGACTCCCCTACATAGGGCCCACCCACAGGGCTATGTGTACAGATCATCCTGGTCTAAGTATAGAAGACAATAATTGCCAAGAACATGGCAATAAACAGCGGGTTCCAGGGCTTCAGGATGCCCCCGGACCATGTGCTATCTTGAGAGCCAGTCTTCCTTCACAACCCCAGGAACCCCATCCTGGTTACAAGGGAGGAGTCTCCCAAACCGCCCCTGCCCCATGTCTGTGTTGCGCAGCCTGGGGATGCAGACCAGACAGACGTCTGCGGTTTGGGGGAATGAGCAAAGAAGAAGAAGAACTAAGAAGAAGAAGATGATGAACTCTGCAAGAATCATTAAGACAGAAGGTTTTTTACACCAACAGGAACAGAAGTAGCATTCTAAGAAAATAAGAGGTACTTTGGGATTTCCAAAACTTCCTGTGCCCATATGGATTCTGGACACAGCCCATGGCTGGTGTCCCTGCTGCTGAGACTAAAGCAGACCATGTGAGGAGAGCTCAGGCCATGTTTTCACATTCTGCCTCCCTTCACGGGGTCGTGGTTCAGAGTTGCGACAATGAATCGCTGCTGTCCAAACCCCAGGAATGGTGTCAAGGCCTGAAGCTTTCAGGACACTGCCACCCCACGTTTCATTACAGTGTCAGGATGGCAGCTCTGTTTTTACAGAAATGTCTCCAAGCCATCCCTGTACTATGGGGTGGGAGTCAGAGAGAGAAAAAAAAATGTGCCCTGCTCTGTGAAAAGCCTATGCTGTTCAGATATTCCGGGGAGCGCCACTGTTCACAGTGGGCTCCCAACAGGATCTGCGCCCCCGGAGGCGTGGGAGGTACCACTTTCTGTGTAGAAGCTCCAGGCTCTCTGCTCTCTGCAGCTGGCTGGCGCCCCTCTCCTCCCCCAGGCTCACAAATGCCTGGACAGCTGGGAAAGCCACCCCACACAGCCCTCCCGCAGGGTCAGGGGAACTGGACCTTGGCTGGCCAGCTGGGAGACCACACCCTCCAGGTGGCACTGCTCTCAGCAAACTCTCTGAACCCTCACAAGGAGATCCAGCAACACAGGGACCAAAGCTGGTTTGCATGGCTTCTACAGGTAAACCGCTGCCTGATTTTCCTTCCTATCTTATCCTGCTTGGCCTAGACAAGTGTGGTGACAAGGAGACAGCTAAAGAAGCCATCTCTGCTCTTTTTTTTATGGTTCCATGACACTTTGAGAATGCTAGTAATTCTTTCTAAAATCCTATAGAGCCCAGAGGAGGTGGAAGAAGGGTGAGGTGGAGGTTAGAATCCATTAAAACTAACTGGCTCCATTGCTGAGCTGCTTGAATAAAAACACTCTTGGAGATTGAAGGGCTGGATAAAAATTCATGCTCAGCAGCCACCATGGTTCAGAGGATACTCAGCCTGAGTTGTAAGAAGGACTTTATTGCTTGGGCTTCGGAAGGCCAAACAGTGACACTGACAGCCATGTGGCTCATACTGTACATTTTGAACCATGTTTTCCTTGGCAGTGGATTGGCTCTCTGATTTATCTTACAAGAACAGCAGAAGGAGGTGCCCACCTCACAGAAACACGTGGAGTGGGTGTCCCACTGCTTTACCTGTCAGTACCTTTCCACCCCCTTGATGTCAGGCCTTTTCTGTATGTGGTCCCAGTGTAGCACAACTGGGTCTCACAGCACCATTCTCTGGTCCTTCCCCAGAGTGACCACAGCATCATGCTGCATTTATCTACATGGCAGGAGGCCCACACACTCCCAAAGAGAAGCCTTCAGTAGGAGCAGACTCCTCAGCCTCACTACTGCAGACATACTTCACCCAGAATTCACCAGAGGCTTCTGTGGTGCTGGAGGCCTGCTAAGGTTTGCCTCGTTTGCACCACTGGCTAACATTCCTACCCAAATGTTAGCCAGTGGCGCACCACAAAGTCAGCTCATGGTGAAGCTACCTTTTTATATATTCTTATTTACATTAATATTCACATAAGACTGTGATGATGAAAGTTGGAGATGCCATGGAAAAATGTCAAAAATCCCAGTCTTTTCCATGCTCCTTGGTCTGCACCAGCAGGACAGGATGACAGGAGGCAGCTACCTGGGTCCCTGGGACACAGACCATGAGGCCACCACTGGGTGACACCTGAGACCCCATCCATTTAGCACAATGTCCTCCCACCACATCTTAGCATCTAGAGTTTACTGTTTTTAGAAAAAAAATTACCTAAATATGTTCCAACTAAAGATGACTGATGGGATTTTCTTTCTTTTTTAAAAAAATAATTTTATTGATAAAGAAATAGCAATAAGACAGTTTCATAACAGGTTAGCAGGAAAGTTACAATAACTAATACATTTTTGTTGTTTTCATAGTAGTTATTCATAGTACAAGATGCAGACATGATATCCTGTCCAAACACTATTAGTACAAATCTTTCTTCTCATTGAACTAAGAGAAAGTAGCTGTATA